AATTTAAAGCTATAAGGTAAACATATACTGATATGGTGTATTTTGCTTCGGACTCACACCGGTTTCCGGTTCCTAGTATATATATACGTATATAAATTACCTGCGGAAAGAGGATAATCACCACCAATCCCTATACCCAAAAGAATACGCCAAAATAACATAAGGCCTTGAGCGGAGATAACTTTAGCATTCGAAACAAAGGTTTTTGAATTGGGATCGTAAACATAAGAGTTCGCCACAAGGCAAATAGCAAATGTAGAGAACATGATGATTATCAGCTCTATTCCATACATCTAAAAATTTTTGGAAAGCAAAGGATAAAAAAAAAATAAATAAATACAATAATGAATTTAGATAATGAATATCATACCTTTTTACGACCCAGAAGATCAGCTAACAAACCAAAACCGAATTGACCGATAAAAGTTCCAAGTGGAGTGGCAAGCTTTAAACTCAAATCGACATCTGTAGGGAGAGAACTTTTTCCATAATACACATAGCCTAACATAACTACCACAAGATTAATGGCAAAAATGTCGTAGGCATCTGCAAAAAATCCCACACCCGCTACGATGCATGTCCTGATATGAAACCATCCAAATTTGGCATTGTCAATTTCTGCAAGAGCTTCACGACGTCTTTTATCATAATCGTTCTCAACTTTAACCTCATTAATTTCTCTATTATTATTTATCTCTTCGGTCATGATTATTAACTAATATTTTATATTTTATTGAAAATAGAATTAATATAAAAGTTTCTTGCGACCTTTCAAAAAAAATTGATTAGGTTGTCCTCTTATTATAAAGCGACATCCTTTGTGAGATCTGATTGGTTAGTTTTAAATATATGGGTATCTGTGTGAATTTTGACGTAATTAATGTTCTATCCAATTTTTTGGAAGCACTAACCAAATTTGGCAACTATGATCAAACTTTATCGTTATACTATTTAATGGTGATTTTCAATTACTATTCGTAGCTAGATCAAGGTAAAATATTTTTACCCTATAAAACGTTACTGTTGGTACGGATGTATCTTTTATGAAACTTGATTGACCAAATCTGATAATTTATAGCAGCACGCGTAAGATCTGAAATTTGTTTGTTGCTAACTAAAAATGAATATAAAATTCTTGATCATATAAAATGAAAATTGTTAACTTGTTTTGGTTAAGAAACCGTAGGAAAAAATTCCGATTTTTGTATTAGCAATCATTCAGGTTGTAAGTACGGATGTAATAATTACGTATTATTGAAATAATCATAATATATAATTAATATATATATATAAGCAAACCCATAAATGGAATATCTAAACAGAGACCTAATGTTACTTAAATTGACATTTCATATATGTAACAAACATTTGCAATATTGCGAGGACGTGGACAGTCCCGAATAATGTCTCACGTCCCATGCCCATGATAGATTGTCTCGGGTAGACATTTTTATTATATACTATAATAAATTACTCGGATGACAGATAATTTAATAATACCCGGGTGGAGATTTTCTTGACAGGTACAATCTGTGATGGTGTCCCAGGTCAGCACTGTACACAGAGATTTTAATATGTAAATTAATAATCTTCATATACTTAATCTCTAATAATAAAGTAGTTGCGTCAGTGGTATTTCTAATTTTAAAGTTGTGACATAAATTCCAAATGTTTATCCTCATTCCTTTCTACGTCAATTCTGTAATAGCAACAAATAGTGGGTTTGAAAATTCTATTAATGTCTTTTATTTCAGCTAATTTTGGTAATGCTCAAATGCTTTGTGCTTATTCATCTTAACATTGATCCTGATAGTAACAAAAGCCTAAATTATTGTCACGGCTGATATTAAAATTGGCTGATGCTGAAATTTGAACATGTTTTTAAATGAAATTTTAAATTTTTTGGTGTGTTTTGTAGAGTTGGATTAGGATTTAGCGTTAGGGTTGATAATTAAAAGAGTATAATGGATATTAGGTTTTATATTTTCAAATCGAGCCTCCAAATTTGCATCAGCTGACACAATTATTATTAATAAAAGCTTTAAATTTTTCACATTGATGACTTGTTAAGCTTTAGCAAATATTTATTTAAGTAAAAAATCAAGAAGAATCAAATAAGAGTTAAATAATAAAAGTAAAATAGACAACTATTTGCTATAAAATAGATAAAAAAAATTTTTTAAACAATAGATATATATCCCAACTATAAAAATTACAAGTAGTACATCAGCTATTTGTTTTTATTTCCTTTATAGAATCTTTTAATTCCTTCATTGAATCTTTTAATTCCTTAATTTCCTTCATAGAATCTTTTAATTCTTTTATAGAATCTTTTAATTCTGTTTCAAAGTCTTCTACTTTAGAAACTTCTAAGATTTTAATAGGCAAACTGTCTTTATTTTCAACACATTTTATATATTTTTTAAGTTCATTAACTGAAACTCTATAATATCTGAAAATTTAAATTATATTATATTAGTATATAGTATACGTATAATATTTAAGTACAAATAATAAATTCATTACAAAATTTCAGGAAACCAGTTTTTCTTTCTTCGTTGATAAGGCAACATCCAAAAAAGTTCAATTTTGGATAATATATGTATATAATAACTAATTTTTATTATTATATTTCTAAATCTAATAAAATTTTTTACCTCTCCTCTTAAACATAAAAAAGATTCCTCATTGTTTCTGTCATTAATAGCATTTCCAAGTAATGAAATAAATAGATTCAATAAATATATTGTTGTAAAAAATGAAAATATTACTAATAAAAATGCTAAAGTCCAATTATTTTTTAAAACCCAAGAAGAAACTGAGCTAGTATCTCCTAAAAAAAATAAAAATAAAAATAAAAATTTTTTGTTAATTTTGTTTAATTATTGTTGCAACTAAAGCTAGAAATAACTAAAATTATAAGTTTAAAATTTTTAATAAAAATTTTTAAAATGTTTGGGAATTCAATATGTTAGTTTTTTTTATAATTAAATTAGCACTTAGAGTTAGTTTTGATGATAAAAGAATATAAATTGATTTTGGCAAGTTTGAATTTTTAAATCAAGATTTTTAAATTTCTAGCTTTAGCTATTTCAAGCTTAGAAATAATAATTATTATTATCTAATACGTACCTGTTAGCATAAAGTATGTTGCTAAAATTGAAGTGCTAAACATTGAAAACAAATTTGTATTATCATCAGGAGTTTCAATAAGTGAAAGTTCTCCAATGGTCCCATTAGATGAAATAAATTTATAAGTTGAAACAAGATTCCAAGGATTATTATTATCATCAGTAAAACTTGGATGATCATAGGAGTATTCACTTGTAGGTCTTAATAAAAGATGTAAAGAATGGGCAAAAGCTAATACCATAATACCTAAAACAAAAAGAAAAGAAAAGACTTTTTGTGCCACTCCTATCATAATTGCAAAATATGTTCCAAAATAATTTTTTTTTTTTTTTTTTAAATATTAAGGTGACCACTTAAGTCCTTGGCACTTTATTAGTACAAGCGGTAGGCCAATGTTAATTTTAGCACCAGCTTTACATATTTTATCAGTATCACG